GGCCTGGGGCCAACTCAGTGTCGCTAACGTGAGTAAACTAACTGATAGCATTAAGCTAACATCTACACACCATGATGTATCTGCTGACTGCATCTTCAGATGAGCTTGTTCACATATTTCTCTAGGAAGAGAAAGACACCTGATGAAGATGACGCTAGCCAGGTGGCATTAGCCTTTTACTGACTCATAAATGATGATGGTCAGGTACAAAGTAGTGTCCACACTGTAATCAGATGTGATGTGAGTGTAAATGAGATAACGTTAATGTTTTATGTATAGGACCAGTAACATCAGACAAGGAGGAGCAGTGGAGCAAAGTGAAGGAGAGCTGAGTGGAGGAGCAGGAGAGAGAGATGAGAGTAGAGGAGGAGAACCTAAAGGGAAGCTCAGGCTCTCAGGGCTGGACCCTACATGGGCTGAAAGAAACAGCCGGTTCCACTCATGGCTCTACCACACTGATAATGGAGAGTGTCCATGAAGCTTTTTGTCCTTTCTTATTTATTTATTTATTTTTGCATAATATACATGTCAATATTTCTGTTAAATAAATAAAAGATAAATTCAGTGTATTTCCATTGTAAGAGCAGTGATCAATAATGCCACTGCACTCTGTCCTGGTAGGAATGTTCTGAATCAGGGGATCAGCTGCAGCCTGGATGCTGCTGAGCCTCTCAGAACAATTTCCCTCCAACAGAGCCTCAGAGCTCTTCTATAAAAAACCCAGAAAATGAATTGTTCTGAGCCTGGGTGCAAACTGTGCCACTGATTCTACAGCCCCATCAAGAAATGATTATTTATTGTTTTATGTTTTATTCTTTTGATTTTTACATTCAGCCTTTAAAAAGCCATTTTCAGCTGGACATTCAATTAATAGGTTGTAAAAGTAAAACCTGCAGTCAGGTGTCATGTGTTGATGTGGCCACGGCTCCTGGAGAGCCTGCTGCTGGAAAACATCCTGGAGGAAACACGGCCATGACTGCAGCAGTAGACATTAAATGTAGCACCTTGTTAATATCAGACATTTACAGAGTTTCCTCTTTGTACAGTTAGTAATGCTACAGAATACTTAAACCCCTCTTTATTCAGATGGTGGTAGATGGACGGTAAGACAGGCAGAGAAACAGGTCAGAAACTGACATAATGACTTTATTTTGTTTCAAAACTAAGTGTTAATTGTTGTGATATTCTGCTTAGACAACATATGTGTCAGTTGTACTAAATACCATCTAATAAGACTTTCTGCATGCCGACCTTACACTAGCGGGCTAACTGTTACATGAAGCTAATTCCCTTTTACTTAATAATTATAAAACTTCAGCTGTAACATAAAATTGTTGTTCTTGCATTTCTATTTTTCAACAGATTCCAAAAAACACACACAAAGTATTCATTTTTAAGCTTTACAGGTGTTTACAGGTGTATTTTTAAACAAAAGCCGGGCTTTCCTTCAGTCTTAAAGCTAAGCTAACCAGTTCTAAGCCTGACTTTGCTCCTAACGCACACATAAGGTCGATATCAAGCTTCATGTCTCAGAGAGAAAGAAAATAAACGTGCTCCCTGAAGTGTTTCATAAATCTGTTTGGCTGCTTAATGTACAAAATGCATACGAGTGCCTCAATAAACAGCTCTTTCAGGTCTATTAGCGCTAATATTCGAAACAATGACGTCTCTAATGAGTAACTGCCCTTCATTTTATGGAAGATTTGAGGGTATTAAAGGGTTAAAATCATGTGTTTTGGTTTATAGTAATGCGGAAAGTTTTCATTAAATTGAATCATAGTGTTGTTGTGTGTTTACGCTGCTATTCCAGTCCGCAGGTCAACAGTCGGAATCAGGTTTTTCTGAATCCCTGTTTTGACTCTTGGAGAAATGAAGTAATGTAATAGTTTCCTAATGGCTTCCCTCTGACTTTGTGCATTCTTGTAGGAGAACCAACAAAAGAATTTACTCTGCCTGCATCTGCGACTAAGACCTCCATCTCAGACCTGAGTCCAGATGTGGATTATGTCGTAACGATAGCCGCGTACGCCGGATCAGAGGAGAGTCTGCCCATCTCCGGCCAGATCACAAGTGAGTCACCGTGTCCCTGAGTGTGTGTGCTTGTGTAGATTAGCACCAGACAATCAACCCAACGCTGGTGGAGTTTGCCTGCAGCTGGTCAGTTACCTGCTTCGGTCTTAAAGTCAACACTGAGTGGACGAAATGACAGGAGCGAAATAATGTAGAGCAGTGTTTCTATTATATTGTCCACTCTGCATTGTTATTATTATTCTGTTTTCACATGAGTATTGTTTAGTCAAACACTCTCACTACTGTTTAGTAGCTGCTCATGATGTACTTTATCATAACTACTTTGATTTATCATCGAGCGAGCTTTAAAACTAACCGTCTAATTTCACTCTTGATGGTGAATAAAAAGCTGAAAATCTCACCACAAAAGTCCGTTTAGTGTGAAATGCAGAACGAGTTTTAATCGTTTTCAGCTTTGCAGAAGTTGAACGGTGCTAGATTGAAAGCCTGACTGGACACATCTCAGTAATTACTGCAGCACAAGGAGGCGATCAGGACTGAATCCAGCTGTGGAGGATTTCCATTCTGCTGATGAATATCATGCAATGCCATCAAAAGTTCCAGCACATTATGATGACGCTGTTTTCTCAACTGCTGTCTTCAGTAGTAGTGTTTAGATAGTTAGGAAAGAGAGGATATAGTCTTTGGCTTCATCGTTGAGGGAATAAATTCAGAAACAAAAACAAGACGATTGAAAGCAGACATAAGAAAGAAGACTTTGACACCGTGAATTCAAAAGGTGTTTTTTTTTAAAATGATGGAAATCTTCATGAACTATGGAACGGATTGGGTAATTATTAAGAGGTTCCATCCTATGGGCAACCAAACACCTCCCAAACATGACAAGTGACAAGACAAAGAAGAGGAGAGGAGGGAAAGCTCCGTTACACAAAAGTTTTTTTTTCTTTTTTCCTGCAAGAACAGCTTTTAAATGTCTTCGGAAATCAATGTGGTTCAACTTTTAACAAGACTTGACTACATTAATGTCTCTGATTAGGGGTCATGAGTAGACATGGATTCGTTTGACCCTGTTGCATGTGGAATGGTTACCCTGACATTCCTGTCACCCTAAATGGATGTGACTTGTTCCACTGTTCATGCTGGAAAACTGGCGTCATGTAACCTGTCTGCTGCAGACTTCAACAGGTCAGCATTTCCATCCAAGTGTGTGTAACTGTTTCAGACCAAAAAAAGACAACATTTTGTTTCCCGAGATGCTTTCACTGCTTCCATATTTTATGTTTCTGTTCCATCACTTGGCTGAAGTGGCTCCGAGGCTGGTAAATGGCAGCATTCAGAGCCTGGATGAGACATTTCTCTAACGAGCTGCTACATTAAAACCACTTACCTGACATTGTACAGGTCCACCTCATGCCTCCTGTCCTGTGGTGTCTGCTGACTGTAGATCCTTTGGGTGAGGCCTCTGAGTATCAGGCTTGTTAAGGTGCTTCACATGGAAGCTCGATTGGATCAGGATCCAGGGTGTTTGGAGGCCTTGGACTTTGAAACATCATTAGATGACCGATTTGTGTCAGAGTAATGAATCCAAGATTCCCCAGCAGAACGTCTCATTGTAAAGAGATGATCAATGCTCCACACTAAATGGAATCCTGACCCAGATTCCCATCGGTGAGGGAGGTCTTCACTAATGTCATGGCAGCCGTTTGGTGGGGACGCCTGTTTGGCACCGTCACCTACACTGATGATCTGAGAAGCCCACTGAGCTCCGGAGATTCCCTGGAAATCTCACAGAAACAATGACATCAACTTGTTCGTTTCTCCACTTGGGAGCTCAATTTGTATGTCAGTTGTATCTACAAGTAGGAAACATTGCTCAAGAAACCCTCAGATGAGAGAATAAATCTTATCTATGGAAACAAAAGACACAGTTTGTTCCAGTTTTAGAGGTCAGCCATTAGCTGAAGCACAACACTGACACTTACTGACAGAAAATGGTTCCTAATGTGACATTAGAATAAACGTAGCGGGTCTCCTGAGGATTAGTTCAACACAATGGCTTATTTGAATTGCCTCTAACTTTTGTAATTACATGACTGTTTTATTGTTTTTCAGTTGAGTCAAGTGGCAGCTCAAGAGGAACTTCCAAGAAACCAGACCCTTCAGATTCAGTCAGTAAGTTCTTTTGTTCACTCATTAGAGTCGTTAATTTGACGAGAGGGTTTCACTTCCGCCTCAGATAATGAGTCACAAACGTTCAAGATGCTGCCATTCCTGCTCGAATTCTCCTCTTTTTGTTCCCGAGTTTTCTTCTGGGCGGCGTCCACCAGCGTGAGCTCAGCAGCAAAGGGAGGCTCCTCCACACAACACCCCATTGTATAGCAATAATCAAAATTAGGCCCCTATAAACCTCTACAGTATTCGGTCATCGCTTTGGTCCCCTGCCGGCCAATTATGCCAGCATGGAGGAAGCTGCACATGCTCAGTGCGGGGGTCGTAGGTGGGGCCAAAGGCTGCTGTTGGAGCTGGGGGAGCAAGCCGAGAGAAGCCCAGCCCCGAAGTGCTGAGAGAAGTGGAAACCATTACAGATACTGATTTACAAGAGCGCTGCTGCTGCTGCCCTGGCCCCTGTTCTGCAGATGATGACGAGCTTGTGCTGATTTTTCCTTCTTTTCATGAGAGGAAAGTCATGAGGAAACTCCCAGAAAGCAGGGCAGAGAGGAGAGGTCTGCACTTCTACCTACAACAGTACAGTTTGATTTAATACTCAGTGATAGCAGGCAGATGTTTTATGAAATCCTGAACAACCAAAAATAATCAGTAACGAGTTTGAAACACGCTGAGTCGATTTGGAGAAACTTCATCTGCAGCAACGCAGACCTGAAACATGTTACGTGAGATCAAAGCTGCATGAACACTGAGCGCATACGGCACGTTTTCTGCTTCTCATCTGACCATGAAACCAAACTACACAATCATTGATCCTGTCATGTTACTGAGAACTACGGGTTTGGTCATTTTGGAAATATAGTTAACCCTTTAGTGTCCTAAACAGGCAGAGTTAAAAAATTTAAGAAGCGATATATTGTTTGGAGCCACAAAGCCTCATGATTCAAACCTCCATCCTACGATACTGACATCGCAGCAACAATAGTTTCTCACTTTGTAGTAAGAATGCAGCAGTTTCTTACCTTGTCTGTTATTCATATTGGTACATACTTCATTATGTGCTGCAAACTGTTTTCACTGTAAGAGTCCAACAACAAAAAGCTTCCAAGCTTTTAGTCTTTTTAGTAAATGAGAGGGTAAATGTTCAGGCATTAAGATCTGGGCAGGTTTAGACAATTAAAACTACAATAAATTCCAAAATGCAGACCAGTGTTTTTAAAAAAGAAATACGCCCTCTTTCCTACAAACGACTTATTTATGCTACTAAATTGGTTTACCAATATTTTTTGGGGGGAGAAACATAGTTGCTGTCTAAATTATACAAAGACCCAATAGTTTGTATACTTCTGCTGTTTTTGTACTTCACATGGGTATAAAAAGAGTCTACAACGTTTCCTCTAAACTTAACCAGATCAGTAGTTTCATCCTCTGGAGACCATGAATGTCTATGTGAAGTTTCACAGCACCAAACTGGTCCAGAATAGTCAACCAACAAACAGCCGCAGCATGTTTAGAAAACAGACCTCTCAGCAGCACTCATGTACTGTCCTCATACACGTTTCATGTCCTGCACAATGCTGAGAGTTGATAGCAATGGACTGGTTATATGTCAGTTTTATCCATTCGTAGAGAAAAACTTCCCAAACAAAATAAATGACTAATAATGAATATTTGTCTCAATTCATTCTTTAGCTGAAGTTAAAAGTGGCTTCAAATTGCTTCCTATTAAAAATAACATGCACCACATTGTATTATTTGGAGTGTTCAGCTTTTGAATGTGTAAGTTTATCTCTCATCCTCTCCTCCACTTCCTTTCACTCTTGAACTTTTTTTCCCAGAATGCTCTGCGACCACCGTCGCTGATGTGGTGTTTTTGGTGGACGGCTCCTGGAGCGTCGGCAGGCCCAACTTCAGATACATCCGCAACTTTATCTCAGCAGCAGCCGGAGCCTTTCAGATTAGCGAGGATGGAACCCGGGTTGGTGTGGTCCAATACAGCGACGGCGCCAGAACTGAGTTCAAGCTGAACGAACACCTGAGTCGACCGGTGCTGCTGCGGGCCATCGGCTCGCTGCCGTACAAAGGAGGCAACAGCATGACAGGTAGAGGGTCATTTCATTTACCAATCTGGTCTTTGTTCTGTTCAGTTATTTGTATGCGTTTCCTTTTTTGTGGTAACTTTGACTATAGCCTATATTATGTATCACTTTTTGCGATTTGAATCACGTTTCATCATGATAAATGGCATCAATATTGTTGTAATTCTACATTTTTTTCTAATTTCTTTAATTGTGTTCACATGAAGAAGGGGCAAGCAAACAATCAATGATCGACTTTAACTTCTTGGTAGTTGTGTAAACCTTGTGTTGCATTCACTGACAGAAAAATAAACACTACAAGTACATTTGTAATAATATCAGTAACAAGCACAATTGTTTTATTTTTTTAAAATAAGAATCATTTAATCATTGTCTGCCAGAAGAAGGGTGAGCGATCATTTGGCTAACTTGTTAATTAGAAGGACAAATCGGTGTGATGTTAGGGGATTAAATCATCCTCCACATCCATCATTGTGTAGAGAAACAACATTATAATCACATTACAACCAATCTAACTTCTTGAAAGAGCAATAAACACTGTCAGCTTTACAAGTAGATTACATACACATCATTCTGAAGGCCTCATAAAGCAGGTTATGTGAAGATAGTTACAATAACTGTGGCATATTATCCACAATCTACCTACTGTTTATGCAGACCTCAAAGAAAATATGATGAATTCATGCACCTCATAGAAACAAAACAAAACATTGCAGAGCAAGTTAGTTTTTCTGGCGTTTGACATTGTCTTTGTTGTTTTTCTTGTCACCTTACCTGATTTTGATAAGCACCTAAGTGAATCAGACTGCTTAGTTTATTGGCATGTGTGATCTAGATTCAGTATCATTCCATACTTTGTGTCATAAAGAAAACCTCTCTCTCTCTCTCTCTCTCTCTCTCTCTCTCTCATTGGTCCAGGCGACGCCCTTGACTACCTGCTGAAAAATACTTTCACTGAGGCTGCCGGTGCCAGGGAGGGTTTTCCCAAAGTGCTGGTGATCATCACAGATGGCAAATCTGAGGATCCAGTGGAGCTTTATGCAAAGCAGCTCAGGAGCAGGGGGGTGGAGATCTTTGTTCTCGGTACGCAGCCAGAACAAGTTTATTACATTCCACATCTTACATTTTCCATTCGTATTTAATGCTTTTAACAGTAGTTTGTAACAAAAGCAATCTGTGAAGGCGTAACGATGGAACAAGGTTAAATTCCTACATCATTAACATTACAAGCGAGTGATAGCAAGTTTTATGTATGTTTACACTCTGGCTTCACTCACACTTTCCACAAACTGAGATGGAGAAACAGGAGTGGGCTGTTGCCATGGTGTTAAAGAGGACGGGTGTTTAAATAAGACAACAGTTCATCTTATGTCAGTGGTAATTGGTCACTGACAGAAAATTGCTCAGTGAGACATATGTATGTTTCCAGTGTTTGCAGGAGAAGCTGATAACATACAGAAGAACCACTGTGAATGTAAAATTTCCCTTCTTCTGAGTCAAACCTCTTATTAGTGGTGCCATCATGTTTCTGGAGGTCATCCAGGCTTTAAGAGGATTTCTCAAAGTGCACAGGAACTTGGCTTTCGATCAGCAGCTCTTAAAGCAACATTTTGATTGAAGTCATCGAGGTTTTGAGTTTTGAGTTTTTTTTGCAGGACTGCAGTGATGAGTGACTTGTTAATGGAAACACTTTGTACCTGAAACAAGACGAGCAACAATCTGTCTGACAGGACAACACAGGAGCCAAGATCTACTGTAAAAACAAAGCAGTGGTGAACACTCACTGTTCGAGGAAATGTTCTAATCTTTTTCTTAAGTAAAGGCAGAAATCTCATATAAACAATATTCTATTACAAGTAATAGTACTGTATTCAAAATTTTAAGTACTACCTGCAAAGAACAAATTATTTAGTAAAACTGTCCTGATGCATTAACGGGTCACTGTTTCATTTGTGGTTGGCTCCAGTGCCGCTACATCGACCCATTTTACATGCTGCTGGCTGGTTTTATTTAATGTATGATCTTAGTTGTATTGTATTGTTTAGAATCAATAAAAGTGCTACAGTTAAACTTCAAACGAGTATCAGCACTAAAATCCAAACAATGAAAAAAGAAAGGGACGAAATAGATAACACTAAGGAAATGAGGACAGAAAGAAAAAATCAGGCAAAGAAAAATAAATAAATAAATCAGTAATGCTTCATAATCTTTTAGTCTGATTCTACAAAGTAAACAGTTGCCATCAATATTGAACAAGACACTTAGTTCTAATCTGAATCTGGAAACCAATAAGTAGGTAACCAGGGACTCGAACTATCAGACGAAAAAAGTTTTCCCTTTCAAAATAATTTGCCAAATAGTTAAAGTGTAAAAGAAATAGAGGTACTTGTTACTTACTGCCTGTGTCTATCAGAGAGTACACAGAACGCCTCTTTCTGAGTTAAACTTTGAATAAACTATGATCCGTGAAGGACCACAGCTCTTTGAACAGTGTCACAGGAATATAGGATTATAAAACTCTCCAGTTTTAAAATGGAGTCCAACCAGTTTCATATTTACTGCCCATGTTGTCAGACTTTCCAGCCAAAGTGGAATAGAAAAAGCTGGAGAACTTTTAATATGCTAATGTGGAAAACAAATGTTCACTTAACTTTGTTATAGATTGCTCATTTCACCCAGTATTTACAGACCTGGAACAAATACACTCGTTACCTCTGACACAGTAATCCCCACACGATGCCAGTGACTTTACAAGGATGGCTATTAATTCCCTGCTGTCGCCTGTTCGGCCCAGTATGGGTGAATGTCCCTAAATTTGGCAGGCAGGGTCGACCACAGCAATTTCCCCATTTTCTTGAAGAATCATACACTGTGCATTTACCACAGCTTTGATTTGTTTTAGGTATCCAACAAGCTGATGAAGACGAGATGAAGCTGATGGCCTCCACCCCTCACAGAAGCCACGTCTTTTCCGTTGCTAACTTCGACATGATCAAGAATGTGCAGAAAGAGCTCATCACTCAGGTGTGCGCTGGCGTTGACGATCAAGTCAACTCACTTGTCAGCGGAGAAGAAGGTGAGATGGGGTAAAAATCTACTTTTATAGCTGCTGAAGTGTGTGTTAAAGTGCAAAAGTTTACATTTCCTTTGCCATCCTGTCGTCCATGGTCCCTGTTCACATGACTTTCAAAGAGCAGTTGTACATTGATGATATTTCCATAATGTATTGTATTACGAAATTTAAAGAAAAATTTTCAAATTTCCCCCAAATTTCTAATCACTTAAGTTGGCCTTTAATGAAAAAAAAAAAAAAAAAAAGTTAATTGGGATGGAAACACCTTTTTCGAATTCTGATGTAATGAGTATTTATCTCATGTGCCCTCATTCCGAGGCTGCATGAATTATGGCCAACACCCATCTGAAATACAGAAGACTTTAGTTTGTTTCTTCTTCTTCTTTGTTTTTTAGCAAATAGGGGGTTTTGTTTCTGGCTTCTTCTACTCTGTTGAGCCATTGTTAACATTTCTGTTATACAGCCTACTTTACTTTCTTTAAAGCAGTTATGGAAACAAATCTAATTAGATCTAATTGGAAGTAACCTCTGGGTCTAAAAGTAAGACCAACACAGAAGTGCCTTAAATCTGCGTTATTTCTAACAGCCACAAGGGGGCGACTCCTCTAGTTGCAAAAAGAAACCGGATTGTATAGAAGCCTATGAGAAAATTATGCTGCTTCTCCCGTAATTTATTACGTCAGTAAACATTTTCGTAATGTCAGTTTCTACTTTCAAGTCTCATTCCGTACAACAGTCTGTTCATTTTACAAATTATGGTCCCATTTAGAGGAAAACAGACAATAAAGCAAGGTATTCTTTAGGGCGGGGCTACCACCTGATTGACAGTTCATTACTGTATGGGTGTTCGTACCCTCCTCCAGTTCTCGAGTCAGATCCCCTCGCTTGTGATGTAAGGTTTCTAAAGACCAAGATGGTGACGTCCAAATACCAAACTCTGCCTCCATCTTTATATACAGTTTAGAGCTTTGCTAAGCATAAAAAGGGCTCATGACTTAACATATTGTATGCTTCGTATAACCAGTAAATCTGTTCCTACTCTTTATGCTAACTGTCTCCTGCCTCTAGAATAATGTTTTTTAAGTTTGGAGGAGTATTACATTTATTTGAAAACTGCTCTGACTCTGACTTTTGCAGCCATTGAGCCAGCCTCTAACCTCCGAGTCGTGGAGGTGGCCTCCAAGTCCATGCGACTGATTTGGGACGCTTCTATGGGATACGTTTCCAGATACAGAATTCAAATGATCCCCATGATGACCGGCAGTAAGCAGCAGGATCTATACGTGGGTCAAGGTCAGACCTCAGTGGTGGCCAGAGAACTTTCTCCAGACACAGAGTACCAGATCAATCTGTTCGCCCTGAGGGAGCTGGCGTCCAGTGAGCCTGTCACAATCATGCAGAAGACGGAGCCAGTTCAAGTCTCACTGGGTGGGTACAAAACAGAGGCTACAAGTGTCCTTACAGGTTCATTTTGAGCTTTTAGTACAATTTGCTGGGTTTTTCTTCAGCTTTAGATAGAATTTAGTGTTCCTTCAACAAAGCAATTCTAACTTTATTTTGTGCATTTTTCTCATTTAGAGTGCTCCCTTGGCGTGGATGTGAAGGCTGATGTCGTCCTCCTGGTTGATGGATCCTACAGCATTGGTTTGTCCAACTTTGCTAAAGTGAGAGCTTTCCTCGAGGTGTTGGTGAACACCTTTGACATTGGGCCGAATAAGGTTCAGATCAGTTTGGTCCAGTACAGCAGGGACCCTCACACTGAGTTCTACCTTAACACTCACCACGATCTGAACGCTGTGGTCAAGGCTGTGAGGACTTTCCCATATCGTGGCGGCTCCACCAACACCGGCAGGGCCATGACATACGTGAGGGAGAGGATCTTCCAGACTAGCAAAGGGGCACGTTCCGACGTTCCCCGTGTCACCATCCTCATCACTGACGGAAAGTCGTCCGACGCTTTCCAGGATCCGGCCACCAAGCTGAGGAACGCTGATGTGGAGATCTTTGCTGTGGGCGTCAAGGATGCTGTACGAAGTGAGCTTGAGGCCATTGCCAGTGCACCTTCACAGACCCATGTGTACACTGTTGAAGACTTTGACGCCTTCCAGAGAATTTCCAAAGAGCTTACACAATCCATCTGCCTGAGGATTGAGCAGGAACTCCGCAAGAGACGTAAGTAGCATTTCTTTAATTCTTTATATGGATGACACTGTGCTTTATTTGGCTTCTTTTGAACAATCTACTTTTGTTTATCGTTTGGTAGTCCTTAGACTTTTTTCCCAAACTAATTTCAGTTCTGCTTCAGGAAACATTCTGTAGTAGGCAGTCGTAAAGATTTCTTAATGTACTTATTTAGTTGAAGCACGAGCATCATGACTGCAAGTAGAATGGCAACATCAAACGCTTAATTTGAATCAGTTGTGGCAGGAAATACTTTGCATTCAGATTTATTGCACTGGATAAATCTAAGGGCAGTGGCTTCACTTTGCAGTTCAGACAGTTGCGGATCTGCAGTGATACAGTAGTTCATCAGTTGTTGGCAAGATGATTGGGAGCTGTTTTTTGTTTATCAATTGTTTAGTAGTGGAGGTGGCTTGCAAAGCGTCATGCCAGTGACTCATATACAAGCTTTATTTCATTGCTGGCACAAGACAATATAACAGAATCACACTCATACCAACCACCAGACAGGGTGCAGTCAGTCATTAGTTTTAATTCTGTTATATTTTGCTGAAGAATTTAATGGACTATGAAAAGATTCTCCTTTGTTAAACAAGTCAGCTTCTTTATCTGAACCTGCTACAGTGTCCATATAATAAAAATATACAGCATTGAAAAACAGCAAAACAAGTTCTGGGGCTTGTTGGTCTCCAGTCTGGGCTTAATTTTGGAGATTTATCGCTGATTTACTTTCCTTTAGTTCCGCATATGTTGTTCGTTTTTCCAACTTTTTCCAGTCCAAACTACAGCCTTCTCAGCATAATGTAATCAAACATGGTTGTCTGAAGCTGCTTTTGTTCATTTGTTCACTGTGCTATGAGCAATGATAATGCTTTTAATCACACTGTGGACTCAGCACATTATTTACTACTCGTTAAGCTTTTTTATTTACACAATGCTGTAAAAACTACCCGTTAACTAGTATTGTTTGAAACACTTGTCCTAAGCAAAACAACGTTTTCACAATAAATTGCTGCAGCAGTCAGATGTAACTCTGCAACCCTTCACGGTGGAGAAAAGTACACAATAGTACCATCAGTCGCCCATATGCACACAATTACTTTCATGTCACTTTTCCAAGCGTGTCTTTTTCAGCTAAACCCTCTTTTTGCTTCAATGTGTAAAACATATGTCCACCTTTTGATCTTTCAAGGGCAGGGAGAGTTCCTGCATGTGGAAATAGTAGAACTGGGTCAAATAGTGGTTGCAGAGATGTGTTTGCATTTGTTGAAACGTAGCCGCAGCACCAGATGACTCAGTATTACCACATCAGGATAATACAGACTGTCAGGTGTGCTGCCTGTCACGTGTTCGTAAACAAAACTCAACTTTGAAATCAGGTCTTTGTGCTGAAATCATCAGCCACTTCCAAACATCTGGTAGCCCAGTGTAAACGAGCAAGAAGAGCTACTTGCTGTTTCAGCCACTTAAAAAGACAAATAATAATTGCGTAGTATTTTGCCAAAAACAGCTTCCAGGTCTGCCAGTGTTAAATGTGACTCACACCAGCTTTGATTGTCGATTATATAATTCTTATATAATAATGACTTTATGTCAACAAAGAGGAGTGTGCAGGATCCCGAGTGAACAGCACAGTCACAGCTTCCAGTCAACATAATGGTTCAAAGAGCTGTCACAGTGGGCTGTTTCACAGCAGCCGCCCTCCGGATGGTGTTTGAATGATCGAGCTGTCAGATGGGTTGTGGATTGTACATCTTTGTTAAATGGCGTGTAGGTCGGCCCCCTTCCACCTTCATTTCCTACTGACTGCAAGAAAGTCAGGGCTGTTTTTTTCTACTGTGCAAAGCCACCTTTTTTCAGCAAGCTTCACGGTTTGTGATCTGTATTTTTTTGCCATCTGCCTTTAATGTTCTGTGGGTAACAGCCATGGAGTATAGCTTAAAAGACTTTCAGAAATGTCAGTTGTAGGACTGTTTTATGTTTTCCATGAGGAAGGAAAAGCAGATTGATGATGCAAGTTTCAGCCTGTTAGCCAGCTGTTGAAAGCAATATGCTCATTGTGTGTGACTTAAAACCAGACTTAAATGAATAAATTAGTCAGACTTGTGTTGGTTCTAACCTCAAATTGTGGGAATACAACAAATTTAGCAGGTCACTGTTTCACATTGTGACTGTGGATTCAGTTGAACAGTCAGACTTCACATAGACGTCTGTCTTTCTACCATATAGAGCCCTCAAACACTACACAGTGGAGCAAAAAAGTACTGTATATGCCAGGGACACTGCTTTCTGCTTACAACTGCACCGTGCCCTGTTTCACATTTTATAGATATGAAAAACACAGTTGAGAGCCCAAGTCAGCCACGTTCAGACTTGCCTCTGTTCCACAACATCCACTGACTTCTTTCATCAGTGTTTCCTAAAAATGAAGTGCTGGAGGTCACTGTCTTATGTCCAAACACAAATCGCCATTCACAGTAGTAGTTGTCAAAAGAAAGTAAAACCTCAGAAAAACAAACAAGTTAAACAAACAAAAAAGATGCTTGCATGAAGAAACTACAGCCTAGTCCTTAAGTACAACTACTTGCCCTGCATTCTGGGTAAATCAAGACTTTTTCAAAACTTACAAAACACGGCTGACCATAGCTGCATCAAATCGCTCCTGCAGAAAATGTTGGTCTCCTGGAAGAATTCAACAGTTACAAGGACATTTTATTGTAAAGGAAAAATTCAAAAACCTTCCAGCAGCACAGGACCTCAGTCCAGTGCAGAAATGCAGCAGAGCTGAGCTGCTGTGGCTTCTTAATGTGGAAGAACTCAGTGCTTCCACTAAGTCCTCTGTCAAGCTCTGGACAGTTTCCTTGAACAAATGAAATCGCTTCACTGCTGTATATTTCCATGTTGTTACTGTTGTCACTAAAAACTATTTTCCCTTCTGACTGCTTACTTCGCAATGTTGCTGGAAAGTCACAAACTATGAGCCATATTGATGAAATCCTCATGTTTTTTTTGTTTTTTTGCGTTTGGGAACATGGAAACAGCTCGTACAAAGATGCAGTTTTATTATATTTAACTGTTATTTGGAAATTTTTGTTGAATGTTTGTTACTGACGTTATTTTGTCCTGCTGATTGGTGTTCATCCATTTGTGTATCATACATGACTGGTGCTTAATTTCACACCAATCTCTTTGATATCGGTTGGAAGAGGTCAGGGGCCTTACTATTGTATCCTCAAAAGTAAAGCTCAGGAAAGTTAAATCTATTGTCTAATATCTTGTTTTTCTTAACAATGAGTCTTAACTCGTCTCACCTAGTCTCTTGTAAAAGCATAATGGTAAATGAGCAAAAATAAATGATTAGATTCAGTATGAATATTTGTTTTTATCTGAAGCATTCTTCTTCTCAGAGGATTTTCAAGGCGGTGTACTTTGATTTTAAACGTCTACACTGTCAGTGCTTCTCCTCCTTACTCTGATGAACACATGTTTTATGTAAAGTATCTGTTGGTGCAGCCTATAAAAAATCCTAACTTTTTATTTTTCTTTTATCTCCAGAGCTGGTCCCACCGAGGTCCCTGTCCTTCTCAGAAATCTTCCCCAGAAGCTTCAAAACTTCATGGGAGATAGATGCCAGCAACGTTGAGTCCTTCTATGTCCAGTTCAGGCCAGCAGATGACTCTGATGCCAATTACATGTCCGTGTCTGTGCCCGGGAACACCCTCACGACCGTCCTCCCCTACCTCACCCCTCTCACCCGCTATGAAGTCAACGTTTATGCTAATTATGAAAAAGGGGAAAGCTTGCCTTTAACCGGCTATGAGACCACTTTAGAAGGTAATGATGTACACTTATGATGTTTACCTTCATTTATTCATTTTTTTTGCAGACATAACTGTGGGCAGATAAATGTTAGTTATAAAACCCTAACTCACACATGTTTTGCAGAACCAGGCTCTGTGGGCAACTTAAGAGTATCTGAAGAGACAACGAACAGCTTCAGAGTGTCATGGACGCCTGCTCCAGGAGACGTCACTCGCTACAGACTGACCTACAAACCAGCTTCAGTTGCTGAGACCACATGGATGGAGACGACCACAGGGGGTGCAGAGACGACAACTGTGCTGCAGGAGCTTCGGCCCAAAACCACTTACCTCGTCATGGTCACTCCTGAGTACCAGGCTGGTTCTGGAGAACCGCGGAAGACTCAAGGCACCACCAAAGAGGGTAAGTGAAGTTATCAGTCCACTGGACACATTTTGTCTCAAAGTTTTTAGTGAAAACAGTGAAAGTTACTGGGTCCAGTGATAGCAGTTTCTCTTAAGCATAATTCAGAGACTTGGAATAATCATGGTCCTCAATCTGCTTTGTTATCTTTACTACAAATGTACACAACGGGATGAAAAGAAAACACAATCCAAACAGTTTTCCCTCACCATTAGTTTAACTTTTTGTATCGAAACCAAATACAATGAAATCCTTTTTTTAATATTGCGATAGATCAGACACACAGTCATTATTTTGTTCTATCCATTACCCCAATTTATCTTCTGTTCATCCAGTGTACAGACTTAATTTCTACAGTTTTTAACCTCGTGCACATGTTAATGAGGTAAAAAAGTTGTTTTTCATCGAAGGCAGTCTTTAAAGTACAAACAAACAAAAGCAGTAAGTTCTCATTCCAGTAACATGTAGTTACTTTGACATTTGTTGGTGGCTTGTTTGCTGTATAACCAGGTGCTGGATGACTCTTTGTAGATGTTGGTTGTTTGTCAAAAACTGTGGTCATACAAAACTGCCCCACAAAAATATTTTAATTTGAGTGTGTGCTTTAGAGCATCTACTGTACTTTTTTTGACACTTGAAACCGATCCTGTCTTTGCTGATCAAATGCATGCCTTACGCAGTGCCGTAACAGTGTGCATGAGGGTGTAAAAACAGCCAAGGATTCAAAGGGTTAACAGATCAGCAGAAGTTCTTCTACATAAGAACTACTTGAACCAAGTTAAACTCTGGAGTCCAGAAATGTGAGTAGTTGGTTAAGTAATAGTTGAGTCACTGCCTCTGATCCACAACAGGTGCCTGCAGACATCTTGTGATGATTTTGTTTGTGCTATGAGACAGTAAAAACTATAAAAATGTAATTGCACCTTAAAATCACAAACGTTTGGGATGATTAAATCATTCTGGGTCCAAGCTGTCTCTCCATCTTCCTGCATCATAAATGGAAAAAGAACAATGGAAATAAGCCAGACTCTATTCTGACATCCTCAGTGACTGCTGTTTTTTTTTAAAAGTCATCATCTGCCATTTGGCGTTTGCTTGACTTCCAGAATTGCCTGGGAGTGCCAGGAGTCCACACATTTTTGACCCCAGTGAAAAGCGAACTCTTAACCCTGCAGTGTTAGTACAACCTGCCACCCATCGAGCTCCTCTTCAGATCTGTCCTGCCTTACAGGGAAAGGAATGAAAAACAGACAGAAGCATGGATAGCTCAGAGATAGAAGTGGGTCGAGATGTTCTCAAAGGTGACAAACAACAAAAAAAGGAAAGTAAACTGGAGATTTTTCCCCTAAAGTAACAACTCTCTAGGCTCTGAATAGTGACATAATGAAACATTTGGGATGTTTTGTGGATTCCAGCAGGGGTTGTTAGTTTTATGTCTTTTAGGGAGGGATCATGTATCTTCCAAAGACACTTCGGACTATAAACCTTAAGCCAAAACACAGAGGACACAGCTTGATATACACAAATTAAACTCCTCTCTACCATGGCAACTGCATTTCTTGCCATGTCTGAATGTACCGTTCACTTCCTGGAGCCTCCAAATCTTCAGAGAGTGCAGCTGCTTGTCATCTGAAGGGATTTTTTTGTTTCGTGTTTTTGACGGTTTATAACAAGAGACAGGATTAATCTCCGCTCGCACCTCTTTGACATGAAACGCCCAGCTGGCTCTCAGATGGATTTATGCCTCCCCCGTACCACTCCTGCATGCCCTCATGGCTTACAATATTGTTCCCATTACACTGTTTACTGTACCATGACTTTATCTCAAAACTATGAGTTGGCGCGGTGCCTTGAGGTTTTGCATACATTGCCCTTTTGCTTGCGGTCCTCTCCGCCTATTCCGGTGTTGCATGGTTCCAGGGAATCGTTTCAATCTTTGTTCCATTTTTCCTGACTGGTATTAGGGAAAAAAAAGAAGGGCATTACACTTAAATTCATGGCATCTTCAGCTTGTCTGACTCAGTTTTGACTCAATTTACCTACCGCAGGAAAAAACATAAGCAGGGAGATGTCACAATAATTTCATGCAGTGAATTATTTTTGAAAGAGAATTTGTTTGAGCATGCTTCACTCTCAGTTTCTTTAACTAATTCACATCCTGGTAACTGCCCAGTGTAAATACTGTTTTTTACTGTGCTGCTCCACTGGAGCAACTGGGAGTTCATTGTCTTGGTCAAGGACTTCTTAGAAAGACAGATTGTTACTGATCCAGTTTTTTTTCCCTCAGTCAAGGACATGATGGAAGTTTTCTGGCCACAGTACAGCTCCAACACACTTACCTTTTTTGTCTGTTCCTATTAGCACATAGCCCCAGTTTGGGCCCCTCATGTGTTACTATGGCAGCTGCAGAGAAAAATAAATGCCTATCAATCTTCAAAAATCCCAGAGGGTTTGCAAGCAGCACTTCATCATGTTTAAAGGTCTTTTCAGATTCTTCAAAGGTTTCTAACGTCAAGTTGAACAAATATTTGATCCGCTGCATGGTCATTTTGACACGTTGCAAATTGCAGTTGTATTTTCTATCCAGGTAACCAGACATGACTTTACGTAGGTTGCTTTATATGTAAATTTAAAAGAATAGAACGTAAGTGTAGACGGAACAGAAAACCATTCCTCTGTTCTGGTTTTCTGATAAATTAAATATTTGATCAAGTATTTGAAGTACTGGGCTTCTCAGAACTTAGAATGTACATTTCAGTTGTTGATTGACATTTTACTGACTTAACTAATGAATCGAGTACAAAAATAAGAAGTCGTAGCAGCTGGAATAGTGACAATAAAAGGGCTTTAAACAGAAGCAAAATGTAAACTGGAAGACAGCTAAGGCTGACTTACAATTGTGATTTTCTGTGATCATGAAAGAAATGCTGGATGTTCAAATTTATAAGGTAACAAGACTTTTATTTTGCGGTCTTAAGAAATCGCAGAATAACTTTCTCATAGACATGAAAAACCAAACATCAGAAATGCCCTCTGATTCCTTTTCAGCCACTGCTGTGATCCTACCAGATTAAGCGATCATGCCTTTTTATTATGACTGTACGTCTCAACAACCACAGCTAATGTTTGAGGTTTTACGGTAATTGCTGTGACTAAACCCTGGAAGACAACCAAATCATCACAAGGCCTCTTAAAACAAACACGGCAAACATTTAATACGGGTCTGTGTTTAATGTGGCTTTCTTTTTGCTCCAGAGCAAAATATTAGAAGTGGTCCCACTTTTAATACCCAGCGAGGCTTTAAAGGTCAGGCTTGTTGTTACTGGAGAGTAATAATAAACAGTCAGAACAAGAGCAGGGAGATGTGGTGAAAAAGGAAAAGAAGGAAGAGACGAAGAAGCCATCCAGTTTTCATATAGGTTTAAAATAGATTTTACCCATCATTCCTTTAAGTTGTGGTAACACTTGATACGCTAGGACAGCATCTTAAATCCATTTATAGCAGGGCTTGATGGAGCTTGAGTTTGAAAATCGGGACTTAGTGCAGTTAGTACAGTGGCTTCTAGAGATCAGAACATTGTGGACAAACCCCCGATTTAACCGCATCAGTTAGAGGTGGAACTGAATGTGAGTGCATTTGAAAAGTTGGATCGCATCCCTTATTTCATTTAAATTATTGCACAGACAACTGTGGTCAACAGAGACGTTAAAGTCAAATCAGAAACTCAGTTTGCAGGACTGAATGGGTGTTCATAGCAAGGCTGGGATTACTTTCATTACTGATCAATCTACTGAATATTTTTTTGGATTAATCATTCGAGCTGTAGAATATCAGAAACTAAAGGAAACATACTTGCAGTAATTTCTCAGAATGGAAGTTGACGTATAGTTTTTTCTTACTAACAGTCCAAAACTTAAAGATTTTCAGTTTTATAGAGATTGAACCTGAGAAACACAGGAAGAGCGAGAAAGGATGAAATGTGACGGAGATGCTCTGTTGGACATTTTGCTTATATTTGCTATTATAAAACACCCCAAAAACAACAAACATTTGTTTTCTTTTGGTGTAAATGTGCAAATATGTGCCGTCATGTTTATACAGTATTGGAGGTCGCACATGTTTTTTTTTTTGGCATGCATTGGCATCATAAATTCTGGGCTGCATGCAGATGGTCCACTCGGAGATTTATGGATGAAATTTATGTCTCGCTGACTGGTATGGATGCTTACAGCAGTGCAAATGAGCTGTCGTGGGGCATCCTGGTGGACTAAAGGTTAAAACACATACCATATAGCTGCAGCGTCCCTTATAGCCCTCTCTGTCCTAATGTTTGGTATTTCTGACTCATTAACCACTTTCTAGATAAAGGCAAAATCCCAATAAATGTAATGTAGTTACAAGAGAATTGGATATATAATTGAAAATAATGATTTCATCGTAGCATGGATATATTTCAGCAGCGTTTGGTCTCTGACTGTGGATGGACTTTTAGCTCTTCAAAGCGCATGCATTAACAGCGACAGTGGACAGCACAGCCAGCCACACGGGCTGAGAGGTAAAGATGAGAAACAGCAAGACCGGACAGGAATGTAACCCAGCTGAGAGCAAGGCTGGAAGGTTAGGAGGAGCAGGGAAGACTGACTCATTCCTGTCTCTGTCTCTGTTTCTGTCTGTGTCTCCGTCTCCATGTGTCTCTCTGCATGTCTTTCCCATTTCCCTCCCATTCTGTCTGTCTCCATGTGTCTGCTTCTCGCTGTCTCTCTCTTTCCATTTCCCGCTATGTGTCTCTCTTTATACCGTCTTTGGTTGTCTCTTCGTGTTATTTTCTTTCCGTCTGTCTTTGTTGCGCTCTTTATTTCTTTCCACCTTGTGAGGGCTTGCCTGGAATTTAATAGCGCTGTCCACAGTCTGTGTGTTTCGGCCTGCACACCCTCCAGATGCGTCTCTGGTCGTTGTGCCATGCAAATTTATACAACCCTGCTCTGTTTTTTTTTTCTCT